TTTCCCTTTGAGGTTGCTGTAGGTGATCCAGAAGTCTGTTTTTGAGGCTTGTTTATGTGTTTTCTCATTTCCACGGGGTGGGGGGGGTGCTTCTGGCACCCAAACGGCTCACCTTCTCTGCCCTAGGAGCCTGGGATGGAGGTGGGGAGCTTCCTTCTGGGTTCCCCTACTTGGTTTCTTAATGATAGTCATTCTTTCTGGAGGAAGGAAGAATCTCTATTGTTTTAATTTGCATTTCTCCAATGGCCAGGGATGCTGAACATTTTTTCATGTCCTTATTGGCCATTTTTTCTTCTGTGAAGTGTATTCATTTCAGTTACCCATTTTTTGTATTTTTTTGTTTTTTGGGGGGCGTTTTTGGTACTGGGGATCAAACTCAGGTCCTTGCGCTTGTGAGGCAGGCGGTGGAACCACTGAGCTAAATCCCCAGCCCAGGGGCATCTAATTTTTTGAGGGTTTTGTTTTGTTTTTTGTTTTTGAGTTCTAAATATATTCTGACTATTAGTCCTCTTTCCAGAGGTAGTGAAAAAAAATTTTTTACCATTATGTAGGTTGTTGCTTCACTCTGTTTCTTTTGCTGCAGAGGAAACTTTTAATTTGATATAATCTCAGTTGTTGATTCTTACTACTTTTTCTTAAACCGTTGGGGTTTTGCTAAGAAAATCCTTGCCTATGCTTATGTCTTCAAGAGTTTTTATCTTCTAGCAGATTGTTTCTGTTTTAATATTTAGAGCTTTATTTCATTTTGATTTTAGTTTAGTTGTATAGTGAGAGACATGGGTCTAGATTCAAATCTGCATGTGGATAGCCACTTTTCCCAGCAATATTTGTAAAGGAGGCTATCTTTCCTCCAATGTGGGTTTTTGCTGCCTTTGTCAAAGATCATGTAGTTGAGTGTGCCTGGGGTTGTTTCTGTATACTTTATTCTGTTCCATTGTTCTACATATCTATTTTTGTGCCAATACCACGCTGTTTGTTTGGTTTGGTTTGGTTTGGTACTGGGGATCGAACTCAGGTCCTTGTGCTTGTGCTAGCCGGTGGCAAAACCACTGAGCTAAATCCCTGGCCCTCCACGCTGTTTTTATCACCAGCTTTGTAGTACAACTTGAAATCCAAGATTGTGATGCCTCCTGTTTTGTTCTTGTTGCCTGGAATTGCTTTTGCTATTTGGACTCTTATGGTTTCATATGAATTTTAGGATTGTTTTCTCTAGTTCTGTGAAGAATGCTGTTGGCATTCTGATTGGATTGTGTTAAATCTATACATCTGTTTTGTTTTAAATAAATTTTATTCCCTCCCTATGTACAAAAGGTTTGTTTCCATTTTTTCCTTCTATTTTCCCTTTTTTTCTTGTCCCTTCCTTCCTTTCTCCCTCCCTCTATACATCAGTTTTGAAAGTATGGCCATTTTGACTATATTGGTTCTGCCAATCAAGGAACCAGAGTTATCTTTCCATTTTTCTGATGTCATCTTCTAGTTCCTTTTTCACAGAACTATAGTTTTTGTTATAGAGGTGTTGTGGTTACTTTTCTTGATAAGACAAAATACCTGACAAGTTAAAGCAGGGAAGCTTTATTTAGCTCACAGTTTGTCGAAATTTCAGTCCATAGTCAGCTGGTTCTAATGCAGGGTGGCATGGCAGAGCAGTATCCCTGAGGAGAAACAGTCCATGGCAAGGCAGGCAGATAGGGCAGCAGCAGCAAGCCTGCCTCCCTTCTCCCTTTGTATTCCATCCGGGCTTTAAACCTATTAACCAGTGCCACCCACACCCAGTTGGGGCTTCTACTATCCACATCCAGAACTATGCTAATTCCCATCAGTGGACTGATTTAGTATCACATACCCTTAATCCCAGTATCACACACCTTTGATCCCCAGCCAGCTCCAAAATGCCCCACCTGTGTGTGCACGAGGTTTGGGGGAACATCTAGACACAAGCCATAACAAGAAGTCTTTTACTTCCTTGTTAGGTTGATTCTTGTTTATTTTTTCTTGAAGCTATTGAGAATGGTATTGTGTTTCTAACTTCTTTCTCAGTAGGTTCATTATTGGTGTATAGGAATGCTACTATTTTGTATGCTGATTTTTGTATCCTGCTAACCTTGCTGAACTTATTATTTCTAGGAGTCTTTTGGTGGATTTTTTGAGTCTTCTGTGTAAAGGATTATATCATCTGTGAATAAGAATAGTTTGACTTTTTCCTTTTCTATATGTATCCTTTTTATTTCTTTGTCTTGACTGATTGCTCTGGCTACAGTTTCGAGTACTATATTGAGCAGGAGGGGTGATAGTGGACATCTTTTGTGATTTTAGAGGAAAACCTTTCAGTTTTCTCCCATTTAATATGGTGTTGGACACCAGGTCTGGTAGTGCACTCTTGTAATGCCTGCTCTCAGGAGGCTGAAGTAGGAGGATCAGTGTAAGTCCAAGGTCAGCCTTGGTTCCATAATGAGTTCAAGGCCAGCCTGAACTACACAGTGTGATCCTGTCTCAAAAAAAAAAAAAAGGAAAAATTGCATATGTATTAAACATGTCAGACTTGTCAGGATTCCTTAAGAAAATACAACACCTATTTGCATAACATTTACATTGTATTTGGCGATATAAGGATACAGCAGGATATGCACAGGCTATATACAAATACTATGCATTTTATATAAGAACTTCAGCATCCATGGATTTTGCTACCAGCAGAGCAGGGACCTGAAACCAGTCTCTCCAGAGGATTGACGTAGGGCTGTAGACTTTTTTGTTTTGTTTTTTTGTCCTACATTTTTTTGCCAGTCATTTTATATAGGTGGTTTTAAATTTTGCTGGAAGCCAGGTGTGGTAGTACATGCTTGTAAAACCAGCCCTCAGAAGGCTGAGGCAGAATTGCCCCAAGTTTGAGGTTCACTTGAGCGGCATTGTTTTTGTCCCTAGTCTGCTTGGTGAACACTTGATAGGCAACTAATTGCTCACAAATATGGATCTTTGTATTCTCTGTAGGAAGAATCAGACAGAAGGACAGTAACAGGAGAACAGACTTTTTACTTTTATGCTCGAGCCCAAGGGGAAATATCTGGGGCACAGAAGTCTCAAGCTGACTCAACCAATGACAAATGTTCAGCTTTTATGCCATCTACCAAGTAGGCAAGAGCCAGTGTCTTGATGTCATCCCAAGTAGAACTAGAATTTTAGTTGTACCTGTGCTATCTTAGTGTGAGCTTTTTTTTTTTTTTTTGGTACCGGGGGATCGAACTCTGGTCCTTGCTCTTGAGCAGCAGATGACGAAACCACTGAGCTAAATCCCCGGCCCTTAGTGTGATTCTTAATAGGTATAAAATAAAGGTAACTAGAGGTGAGCCTAGTGACTCTTCTACATCTGCATGTGTCCCTTACCACCTGGAATTTGCACCCTTATCAACTGGGAAAGTTCTTACTGGGTTTTGGAGCAGGGTGGATCACTCCCTGCCCCAGTGGGTTTGATCTTAATGATCCTGGGCTATTTTGGGCTCTGGCTTCTTGGTATCTCTGCTGATCACATCGTTTTGAAGACTGAACTGACTTTCTGTTTCTTGGTGTTTTGTCTTAATTTTAGAGTCTTGAAGACTTGTCCATATTTTAATTTGTAATTCCCTGATAAATTCCTTAAAGGACTGAGAGCTAGTCTCACAAGGATGAGACTGAGAAGAAATATTGAAAGGTAGTTACAATAAGTGGTTAAGTGGAAAAGATCACGTTTTTACAAATCAAAATTGCCAAGAGTGGTGGCCCACACCTGTAAACCCAGCACTCGAGGCTGAGGCAGGAGGATCGCTGAGAGTTCCAGGCCAGCCTGGGCTACATACTGAGTTCAAGGCCAGCCTGGGCTACATACTGAGTTCAAGACCAGCCTGACCTACATAGCAAGACACTGTCTCAAAAAAAAAGAAGAAGAAATAAAATATTCCATGAGTTTGGGGTAGGAGTAGTGGACTTTGCGTCTTATTTTACGTCGTACTGTGTCTTGAATTTTAAGTTTGACACAGGGCTGTATGTCTTTGATAACTACCACTGGGTGTAAAGCACTCGCTGTAAAGGACCTCTTTGTTTTTTACCTCTTGTTCTAAGAGGTAGCAGGCGCTGTGCTCGTGGAGCTCGTGCTCCTTTACCCGACGGACTATAATGAAAAACTAGGCTCAGGCATTTGCATGTCCAGCACGCAAATTATTTTCTTCAGCTCTTCCTTCACGGCTCGATTGTGACCTGCGGAGTCACAAGGTAGACACTTGGGGGCGCCAGGGCCTCAGGAGCGACGCTAAGGCCACAGAGGGATCGCGAGGGTGCGGCTCCTGGGCCCAGCTTCTCATTTGCCCGCGGAGACAGCTAAATTTGAGCCACGCGTTCCTCCGCTAAACTGAGCTCGTGGTCTCAGATCTAAAATCTAGGGGTAGAGGGTGGAACTCAAAGGTAAAGCGCTTGCCCAGCTCCCGGGAAAGTCTTCCAACAACTCGTCCGTATTTTTCGTTCCCAGCCCCCCACGCACACCCGCTCTCCAAAGAAGGAAAGGGAGCACCGAGGGGAACCAACAAGCTTCTCCTGAATGGCCATTTAAGTCGGGGTTTCTCCCTTCAGGCTGCAGCTGGGGTTAAAGCACTTTGCGGG